CCCCACTGCAATCATAAAGCCCTCCTCCTCTCTCTCCCCCCACCCCAGCTCCCTGCTACCTCCTCCCTCGTTCCCCCCACAGGTGTGCTCTTTTTTGATCCTGGAAATACAGTAACCCCACAAAATAAAGCAATGGGGATTCCTCATAAACCGACTGGAATTCCATATGAAATAATGGAAAATATAATTTGCTTATTGGAACGAGGGACCTTTTGTCTCCAACAGTCTGCCTTTCTTGCCATATGGGGCCATCTACTAAAAATCCATTGGAAGATATTGTGTGTTGTCTAATTCAGGATCTTTACTTATTCTAGCAAATATCCTGACAGAAATTTATTTTCTAAGTATCTGCTATTTCTACCGGTGGGATTTACTACTAATAGCATCAGTGATCTTCCTCCAGTACTTTACATATTATTATTACACCGCAATTGCAGCCCATAGGGTCCCAAACACTCAACATATTTGAGACCATTTGACTTGCTGGCAGATTTGAACAGGGGTTACAAGGCAATAAACAGGCAGATCCAACATCCCGTGAATATTTAAATGTAAAGCTTCCAGGAATTATTTTACCCCCTACTGAAATGCAACCTCCTTCAGTGGCGTGTGGTTGTAGCAAATGTACGAGACAAGTGAAGAACACAGCATTTGATGAAGACTGCAGTGGGAATTTAAGCAGAAAGAAGGTGTTTACCCAAAGTTTAATTCTGGAAGGATACCAGATTGCAACCATGGAAGGATACTTGTTTTGTGCCTAAAACTGTGCTGCTATTCCTAACATGTCCATGAGCATCCGTTGTCACTTTATTGTGCTAGTGTCCTTCTGCCTCAGTTTTCCCAAGCTGATGAAGACTTACATTGCTACTTCACACAGATGCAGGAGGGAAAGAAAAACATTATTTGGGGAAAAAAAGAACATTGAAATCCTTAGATGAAAGGCAGCAAAGAACTTTAAATACCCACGTTACTTCAAGATTTGGATTGGCACAAGCCGTACAAACAAGCTATCCAAGCACAATCTGTCCGCATTTCCAACTCCACATATTTAGCAGACCCAGTTCTGCATAATCACAGGTTTTCAAGGCAGAAGGGGCCATTAGATATTCTTGTATGACCCACCTCTACACCATAAGCCATACATCATTTCACCTTGTTCCTTGTGTATTGTGCCAATAGCTTTGTTTTTCGGGTTTTTTTAAGACAAACCTACAGTCTTGATTAGAAGACATCAACAGATGAGGAATCAACCACTTTCTAAGGTAGTTAGTTCCAGCGATTAATCCCTCTCACAGTTCAATGTCTGTGCTTAATTTAAAGTCGAGTTTATCTGGGCTTCATTTTTTTAGCCACTGGTTCATGGTATTCATTTTTTCTTTAGATTCCAGTGCCACTTAGTATCTAGCATTTTCTCCCCAAGAAGACATCTTCATACTCTAGTTACATCAACTCCCAATCTTCTTTCGGGTGATAAGGACCAAATTGTGTTCTTTAAATCCATCACTGTTAAGAAACCAACAGATGCCTCAGTTTGTTGCGTGACCACCAGCCTTATGAAAATTCACCCTGTCAAGGTGTCTCAACTTGGAGGCAATTCTTAGGGCATATTAAAGAAGCCACAATAACTTCCATACTAACAGAGCTAAACAAGAAGAGGAGTTAAATATTTTTCCCTTTGGACAATTGACATCTGGCTTCAAACATGCCAAGCAAGCTGGAGCAAGAAGAACTGTATATTTTGGGAAACAAACAGCAAACATCTATTTTATGCACCAAGAAACATCATTGTATTGTCCACTGAGTACCAGTGCTGACTAGCCTGGAACATTATTAAGGCTATAAAACAGAAAATGATGAAAGTCTGCGAGCATGGAGTACCTGATATTTTTGGTTTGCTGATAGCTGGAAAATCAAAAAGTAGAAATAATATTGATTCGGGAATGCTTCATACTTGAAGCTTGGAGCAGATTTTGAGTAGACAGCAGTGGAATTGCAAAATGAAGAGGCATATGAAGTAAAAAAATAAATAAAGTGCTGGATTTTTAAAATGTTGTTATAACATTTCTTGTCAAATCTTGTGACAAGAGTTTTGTTGGATTAATTTTGGTTTGGATGCAAGTCATTTAGCAACATCCACATCACTTTCTGCAACCATCTGGGGTTGCTAACTATATGCTTTTTTGCCCCAAATCAAGTTCCACATTTGGGTACATTCCCTCAAATCTTGGTTCTCAATGATTCGATCCCTCTGGGTGCAAATATTTAGCAAACATGACATCCAAGAGTAAATCCCCTATTTATGGTCATGTATATGCAACCACCGTTTTTTTGCATGCATGTAAATGAAGGCACAATTACTGTGCATATGAAAGCAGAGGCCCTCTGAGAAAGGCAAGCTCAAAATGTGTCATCTGGCCTTTGGGAAGGGCAGATGAGGAAACCACATGGTTCATAACAGGTCACAAAGGCTCTTACCTTCTGATCTTGACTGTAGGCCAGAACCCAGTCTTCCTGCTTGGGGTGGAAGAGCAGGCTCTGGATGTAAAAGTTGAGCCGGTACTTCTGGTAGGTGGCCCCTTCATCAGAGCTGATCAACAAGCTGCTCTCAATCTCCGGGTCAGTCAGCAACATAATCTACATGGATGGAAAAGATGAGGGCACAAAGGGTAAGAGGGGTCGGAAAGAAGAGTGTACCACTAGCCAGAACTTTGTGAAGACCTGATGCAGACTTCCAGGCCTGATGAAACCATGCTAAGCGACTCAAGCAGACTGTATTACAACATACCAACTGTGAAAATAAAGCAATATATGATCATAGTCTATGCATACAGGACGAATTTAAACAAAGACAAAGGGATCCCTTAGGATGGAGCACACCCTAGTTATACTCAGTTCATATTAGCAGTGGCTTCTTATGATCAATAGCTAGAGCTGAGCCTCTAGCACTCAAATACAGACTATGGTTCATAGGCAAAAACAGGAGCTTGTTATCCTCTTTCTGAGATAGTCAGCAGAGGGGCAGTTTATATTGGGAAAACATACTGCATAAGCAAATTTTGGCTGCAAGAATATAAAAAAAAAAATATTCCTAACGGTGGGATGTGTTAGGATTGTGGAAGTACCTGCACAGGGAAGATGACAAGCGGTTTAATGCTTGAAATTTTATAACCCAGCCCTTGGCGAGGAACAATCTTGAAATGGCAGGAGAATGCATTGATAACCTGCTAGGTCCTTTCCATCTCTAATTTCCCTGATCCTATGAATTATAGATTCAGTAATGTATCAAAAAAAAAAAAGGGGGCTTTGTTTAGTGAAGCTGCTCTTTAGCTTAATCCAAGGGTGATCATTCTGGAAAGGCAGCAGATAGATGCTTTGCCGTTGTAGCAGTAACTTCTCGCCATCAATTAATGCTTTAATTGGTCTTACTGCCGATGAATTGGAGAGAAGTGTGAATCTATCCTCTCCTGCCGCTGCCTGGAGAAATCATGCTATTTTATGTCTGAGCTCTACAAAGAGAATGATTTCAGGCTTCCAGCAAGAGACAAAACCAAGTTAGGAAGCAACAGAACAGGAGGCACAACAAATGGCAAACACACAACATTTTGACAGACACACATCTACATCAGCATTACTGCTCCAAATCACTCGTGTCATTTTTTGAAACACATCTTTTACTGTCTCTGTGCACATGGCAGATACAAATCAGCTACTCAACAAACGCAAACTGAAAGGAGCCGCACATGTGGCACTTCCCAGAGCGAATGCAGGCATTTCAGAAATCCTTGCTCAGCTGCCTCCTCCACCCATCATTCACCCAGTAATAAAAGGCAGGGAGAGCCAACTAATTACAAAGCAAGATGGGGAAAAGAAGAGGGAGAGGGCATTTAATGCACACAATTTCCTAACAGGCAATTATTTATAAGACAGCATAAACCATCTAGATGGACACATAAGACAGATACATTATTTTAGCTTGTGCAAATGTATGTATACTGCACAGAGAAAACTGCCCTGTATTTCTGGAAGGCTGACAGCTGTAACCCTCTGGCAGGAGCTGTTTGAAGGCAACAGCCTACTTTGTCAGATGCTAGGAAGGGACATCTGATGAAGTAGGTTGCTGCCTATGAACAGCTCTTGCTTTTCTGAACCAGTTAGTCTCTAAGGTGCCACCCTGCCCTGCCCTCTGCCTGGCTTCAGGCTAACATGGCTAACTACCTCTCTCCTCAAGCCATAGAAAAACGTTTGGCCGTCTGGGTGTGAACCGAACACAGGACCCAGAAGACAAGGATGCTCAACCCAGCTCTGCCACTGCCCTGCTTGGGTGAACTTGGGCAGCTCACTTGATAACACAGGAAAAACACTCCTGATCTCATTTGCAAAGCACTTGGAGTTCCACTGATGAAAAGTGCTTTACAAGAGCATTTAAAACTATCAGATGCATTAGGCATAACATTTTGATGGCTCCTATGCTAGCAGTTTTCACATTAGCTGACGTATAAAACCTGTTAGTCATCAAAATGCAAATAAAAAGATGATCTGCTGTCAAAGGACCAAGTGAAGGAACTTGGCTTCTCCAGCCATAATTAACCATGCTCTCTGCGAGTCCTTATTTCATTCCCCCTACGCTATTTTTGAGCTAATGCACCAGTGGTTAATATTTACAGGGTAAATATAGAAACAAGGAAAAAGAATTTTCTAGTCTTTCGTGACTTCCCTTAACCTACATCTTGTTCGTGCCGGTATTTGAAAATATCACAGAACAGCACTAATTGTTCTACAGCAACTGGAGCAGAAAAAAAATGCAAATCGATGGCCTCGATCCCAAGCTCGCTGAAGTTAATAAGAGTCTTTCCATCAACTCAGTCAGCTCTGGATTGTGCAAGGAACACTGTTAAACGCTATGAGTCAGAGTTTCCCATCCTCCTGTCTCCCATAGGAACTCCCACGATCCCATCACTGTAGTCGAGCACTTTGCCGTTTTTAATGCATGCGTTGCCACAAGGGTCCTGGGGAGTAGAGCAGTGCTATTATCACCAGGGACTGACCCAAATCGAGGAGGCAGGCAGCCGATTTCATGGGCAAATCGTGGGGCCGGCCACCATTTTTGCGGGCCAATTGCAGTGGGGCCCCCCTATGCCTCTGGTCGAAGGGCCCCAGTGGTTCCGTCCCTTGCTGCTGATTGATTGATTGATTGATAGGGGTGTCCATAATGCAGCTCCACCCCTTGCTGCTGAATGGTGGAGAGAGGCAGGGTCAGACAACAGGCAGCCTTCTCAGCCAATCATCAGTGAGGGGTGGAGGAAGCAGCCATCTTGGCTGCTCCCCTTCATACCAGGAGTCCCCCTCCTAACCCCGGCCACCTGGGCGGCCAGGCCACAGCAGCCGTGAGCACCACTGCCTCCCTATGGGGATCCAGCATTTTATTTTAGCTCATATTTTTTTTCCCTGCAGATTTCCCAAACATTGCCCAAGTTTGTGATTTCTGCAAAATCTGCAAAATCGCAAATGGAGTAGGTCCCTATTGATCACCATTTCACAGCTGAGGAACTGAAGCTTTGAGGACATGTCTATATAGCTTTTCTCCTGGGCTCACCACTGACAAACTAAGCACAACCTACTTACTACCCACCCCCAGGAGCATCAGAGACTGGCAACTGAGCCAACTAGTCAGCTCAGAGTAGTCTTGATTTAACAACTTTGTGTGCTCAGAGTCTATCTCAAATGAGAAATAAGGAGAGTGGCAGTAGGCTGCTCCTCCTTTCCCTGATCTCCCATGAGCCTAAGTCTGATTGAATGGGTGGGAGTCATGATGTCAGCAGTAAACCTGACTATATTGGAAGCCATATAGACACAGTTTGAGCGTTTAAGGTCCAGATCTTCCAAAAGCATGTAGGCACCTAACTCCCACAGAAATCAAAGGGAGTTAGGTATCTAAAGATCTCCAAGTTTTGGGGCCCTGGTGACATTTTAAAGACATCTGTGGTTGGGAAAAAAAAGGTGAAACTGTGTCCCTCAATTCGTGCTAGCGCCCTCAGCTTTGAACCATCATGCCTTCAGTTGTGGTGCTCCGCTCTCCTCTCTGCATTGCTGCACACATTACAAAGACTTAATTCTGAGACGATAGAATGAGAAAGAAATTTATAATGCGACTCTTTTAATGTCACTGCTGTTCACACAGAAATCCAAACCCCAGGCTGCTTATATGGAAATTTAAAGGCAAACTTAATTATGGAATATTTCCATGTAAATAGTCAAGAGTTAGAAGTGCAAAAACAACAGTTATTGCATAAAAACCAGAAAGCGTAACAAGTGAAATATCAGTCGGAATTGAAGGAAAACATGTTGATCTAGATTTGTTGTCCAAGCTGATTGAAATGTGAATGGCATGAAAAGGATGGAAAGTACGTTTGATTTTTTTTTAAATATACTTTTGATAATGTAAGCAGGCCATGGAACAGAAATCAGAATTCATTTTGGACCAATATAAGACCAATTTCGGCCTCTGGTATCCTATTAGCCATTGATCTGATGCAGAAGCACATATTAATAATATAATAAATGCAGATGCATTGCTCTGATAGGAATAATATCAAAATAAACCAAAGTTTGGAATACTTGTAATCATGACTAAGCTGACCTTTCACTAAGGATCTTAGGACGCTATAGCCTATATCAGGGGTTTTCAACCCTTTTTAAGGACTATACCCCTTCTGGGTACACTTTTGGCAGAGCAGCGGGGAGGGGGGTGATGGTGGCCAGACACATAGCGGGGTGGGGGAGGAGGGCTTGCATGCAGTGGTGGTGCAGGGTGGTGGACAGTGGCAGTGGCCACCACATGCAAGCTTCCAGCCCCCCACCACCCCCCATGTCCGGCCAGCCGGGTGGCACATGTGCAGCCTGCAGAGGGGAGCTTCTGCCCTTGCCACCCCCCCCGGCCCTGCTCCTGGGAAGTGGCTGTGTGGGATGCTGGGTGGCACCGCTCCATTCCCGCCCACCAATGCATACCCCCTAGCCCCTCTCCAAGTACCCCAGAGGGTACGCATACCCCCAGTTGACAACCCCAGCCCTATCTGGATCTGTTATTCCACAAGTGCCCATTTCATGCTTGCTTGCATTTTCCTCCAAAACTCCCTGTATTGTCCACTTGGGAGATAGGACGGGGTCATTTAGACTTTATGTTGAATGACAGAAGCACGCCTTCTTGTTCTGTGTTTATACAGCACCTAACACAGTTGGTTACCGGTCTTTGTCTGGGGACACTATTCCTCACTTCAACACAAAAAAATGCTTTAGGTGGTCTGATGCAATATGGGGATTCTGTCTTTCATATTTTTGAGCATTTCATTTTAAATACTTTCTGATCCCATCCTTGTAAAACCGAGTTATTAAACGGTAATTTAAAGAAGAGTCTCCTAGCCCCAAAATCACACGTGCAGTGGGGGAGGTCTTTTTTGGAACAGTCCTGAACTGTTGTTTTCTCATCTGGATTGAGAAGTGAGGGTACGTAAAGACTCATCTTCCCCCAGCAAAGGTAATTACTCCCTGTTCAGACAAGTATCCAGCTGTGATCAGAATGTATTCACTCATACTGAGCACAGTGAAAACAGGCTGCATTTACTGACACTTCAGCTGAT